TCAAAAATTAAGATATTGATCTGCGGTTTGCGCCAAAATTCTTAGTTTTTTTATGCTTTTTCGAATGAGGTAGCACAAGATAGGGGTTGCTATTTGAAGAAAAATAGTTGGGGTCCGCAGCCCCTCCCCACGGGGGGGCCCGAAAATTTTGGGGGGCCCCAAAAGTAGCTAACATTGACCGATGAACATCCCCAAAGTTTCGCTTCAAAATATCAATCAGGTAAAATTTTAGAGGGGGTGGAAGGGACTTTTGGGACACCCTGTATGTATGTATATATGTATGTATGTATGTATTTCCGCCTTTCAACTTTTCAGTCCGAATTTTTTGGTGCAAAGTTGAAATTCGGATTCAGCGTCAAAAATCACATAGCAATCTTTGAAAACATTGCTACCCGGGATTTTTGAAGGCTATGGTCCCTCTTCTGGCTTATTTGCCTTGACTTTAAGCTAACAATTATTTCAAAACCTTCCTGTAAAATGCTCCTCATGGGTGGGTTCACCTACCCATGTATAGTGTTACTTTTTTACTTTTTAGGGTTCTCAGTTTTTTATCTCACTCCTCTGTATTGTGAATTATTTTTTTTTTCCGTCCATGTGCTACCATTTTTGAGGATACTTACATCAAGCAGGGGAGAGTTTCAAGGAGGAGTGTATCAATCAGTTCTTCTGAGTGATTCCAGTGGTATCAGAGACCGATTTTTGAGCAGGAGGTAAGTCAAAGCTTCAGTGATGTTCATTCACTGGAGACATCATGGTTGTTTTCATGCTGCCCCAGGAGTGGACACTTCAGAGGATAAGAATTTCAGTAAGAATCGTTGCCAAAACTTACCTTCAAAAACAGTAGAGCTGCAAAAGCCTGAGCACTATCATTGGGGAACAAGGTACCAACCAAGTCAGTCATTTCATTGGTGAAAGAATTTTCTCCAATCCCAAGGAGTGTGCTAATCATCAAGGCAACCGCAACGCTAAAACGGAAAAATTAGAAAAATAAATTAAACTTGATATTTCAAAAGAATCTTTCATGATGTTTATTTCATAATGAACCTTTAGACCAGGATAGTGAATAATCGAATAACACAGAAGACAGTTCAGTTGTCAGCGTTATATTGTCTCAGATTCGTCGATGGTGTTTTCAGTTACCTAGGTGGTAAACTTAAATAATTGCAGACAATATGCATTAAGGAGTGGAAAAGTGAAGATATAGCAAACACGAAAATCCTCATCACTATACAGGGTGGCCCAGACCTACCGTACCAGGCCTTTTTTTCGGTTAATTTGGGTCGCACGAAGTCCAGGATCGCGGGGATGAATAGGGAATCGACCCCAAGGAATCCGAATTTCATGGTCCCAGAGCCCCCCTGGCGCCCCTTGGGGGGTGACAGGGGGGTCCGTACTTCAAAAGTCAGGGTTTATGTCAAAATTTTGAAATTATTTCATCGGAATCAGAACGTACGGAAATTTTTAACTTGAACCGACACCAAGAAATCCAAAATCGGCCCATCCGGGTCCAAAATACCGACCCCTAAAGGTGGGGGACAGCGCCCCCTTTCAAAAAAATTCAAGTTCGTTAAATTGACGTAGAGACTCGGAAAAAATAGGTAATCCTGGGTAATCGACCCTAAGGAGTCCAAATTTGAGGGTCCCATTGTCCTCAGACACTTTTCTCATGGGGCACAGGGGTAACCTCCACACCGGTTAAATTTGAAAGTTCAGAGACCCCCTGTGCCCCATGAGAAAAGTGTCTGAGGACAATGGGACCCTCAAATTTGGACTCCTTGGGGTCGATTACCCAGGATTACCTATTTTTTCCGAGTCTCTACGTCAATTTCACGAACTTGAATTTTTTTGAAAGGGGGCGCTGTCCCCCACCTTTAGGGGTCAGTATTTTGGACCCGGATGGGCCGATTTTGGATTTCTTGGTGTCGGTTCAAGTTAAAAATTTCCGTACGTTCTGATTCCGATGAAATAATTTCAAAATTTTGACATAAACCCTGACTTTTGAAGTACGTACCCCCCCCCGTCATCCCCCAAGGGACGCCAGGGGGGCTCTGGGACCATGAAATTCGGATTCCTTGGGGGATTTCCTATTCATCCCCGCGATCCTGGACTTCGTGCGACCAAAATTAACCGAGAAAAAGGCCTGGTACGGTAGGTCTGGGCCACCCTGTATTTGATAGGTATAGTTAATGGAGTTAAACCCGCGTTAACCTCCGCATATTGATCGAAAACCAGAGAAAACTCAAGTGTTCTTAAGCGATACCTATCACCTTACTTACGATCAGAATGAATGCGTTACGCCCACTTAAAGCAAATAGCGGATCTAAAACATCTGCCTCTGGAACCAAAACTATTATTTTTTGTTAAAACTATGTTGTCAGACGTCAACTACCTCCGGCACATATGAAACTGGCAATGTCTCCGAAATGTAAAAAAAAATCATCTATTTTCTCCAAAATATAGGTAGATATCTTTGCGTACAGACAGCGTTTTAGCTCAAGTTTCCGAATTTTTAAAAAAATACTTCCGCGTCCTGTGCGCTCAAATGTGTAATTTATATCAAAAGTAGTGTAATAGAAGTCTCACTTCCTATCTTGACTTTTTCCGACGATAGAAATATTCCTTCAAACTTTAAATAATCAATCAACTCGCTGTAATGTATCCCATTTGGGCCTAAACAGCGTTTTCGGTCCAGTTTTCGAATTTTGAAAAAATACGTAGGTATGCGCGTCTTACACGGCAAAATGTTTACTTCATATCAAAATTAGTGTGTTAGGAGGCTATTATCTCAAATTTTTGGGGCTCTAGCGTGACTGCTTCGTCCCTGAAAATAAATAATCTAATCGTCGAAAATCTCAATTGTCGGAATCGCAAATATTACAAATGTGTGATGCGGCAGCACTTAAACTTTACCTATAAATATGAAACTTTGCCAAAAACTTTTTCTAACCAATCGAAACACTTTTTCAACCGGAAAACGTAACTTTTCGAGGGTCAACTTTATTTGGGGGATACCTATCTCCTGCATGTGCAGCGTTCGGTTCCTCTGTAGCCAGAATTTTCCGGAATGCAGTTGGTCTCATCCGGTGCGGTGTCAGCCAGCATTCAATTCATAGGTATCAAGACATGCAGGCAGCAGTCTCAGGTCCAAAGTTCAAACTCATGATACTCGTATTTTAATGGTGTCGAAAAAGCTCAGCATATTGTCATAACACAAAAAAGTAAGGAAATTTCATGGCAAATTCATATTTTTTTAGCGGAATAAGTCGCATTTTTTGGTCGTTTCCGGCTGTTTTGCAGTTTTGAAAAACAGTAATTGTTCATTGAATGATGAAAATACAGTTCTACGTGTGTTAATACTTTAAAAGTAGTGCGAAACTCACTTTCAGATTATAGGATGTGATTACAGGATGTGTTCGTTTGTTGAAGAAAGGATAAAATTTCGTATATTTTCTCAAAGTTTTGCAAAAATAGGTATCGAATTTACGACAATTATGTATTTTTGTCGACATTGCAATGGTCATAAATGAACCTGGAGTGTCCAAAACATGGGAATACGTCAGTTTCAAGACATGAAGTTGAAATCAAAAGGCGCTAGCCCGTTTTTAAGGTGAAAAAACGTGATTTTTTCGTAAAATTCGAGACTTTACGTGGACCGTGCCAACGGGAGGAGTTAAAATTTCGGAAAATGAAAAAACACGGGTCCGTTTTCATTAAGAAAGGCAACTTTTCTGATATAGCCGTCAAGCGATCTCGAAAAAAAGTGTTTTTCGCTCCACCCTAGAATCGCCCTAAAAATTAGTTTGAAGTGATTCTGTGATTTTCATTTAAAAGTGCTTACAAGTTCGTAAATTTCCCCGTTTAATTTATTTCGCCACGATAATTTGAACCAGAGTTATGATTTTTTGAAAATAGTCAAATTTGACATTTGACCTAACATAATAACTCGGTCAAAAGTTAAGATATTGATCTGCGGTTTGCGTTAAAATTCTTCGTTTTTAATTTTCTTTCCAATCATGTATCACAAGATAGGGGTTATCATTATAATTTGAAAAAAAAAGTTGGGGCCCCCCGCCCCACACTGTGGTATTGGACCTGAAAAGCTGGCCAAAACTATACATCACTAGATATCGCCGAGTTTTCAAAATATGTTACAATCAGTACTTCTTCTTAAGTGATAATATGCACAATTTACCCACCTAATACATATGACCATTTGCGGAGAGTTTAAAGAGGATGGAAGAAGCCCTCCAAAAAGCCTTTAAAAGGACGCAAAGTATCTGACTAAAGCGGTGCATTTAGACGAGTTTCTCCTTCACCTATGGTCTACTTTTCGAAATAAGGACTCTCTATGACCTCATCAATGGTTTTTTTTTATGAAACAGCGTAAGTCACTTCAAAATTTTTGACGAAACAGCCGATCTCTCACATTGAGGAGTAATTGTACATTTCTCAAAAAAATTAGATTTTTGACAGTTTTGAATTAAAATTAGTGCTAGTATGAAAGTGCCGGGACCTCCATATGATGATTTGAGGATAACCTATAAGATGAAAATGAGTTTTATCATAATAAGAACCATTGTAAGGACAGAAAGCACCTGCGAAAATGATTCATTTTGATAGGTTCCTTTCTAACCCATGGTCCACATCTAGAAGTGAGGGCACTCCATTACCTTTGAAATTTCCTTTTTTAATATAAAACAAGTCATTGCGGAATTCGTGACAAGACCATATCTCACTTATCTAGAAGCAAATGTATTCTTTCTCAAAATTTAGGTTTTGAATCATTCTGTATAGAATGATTGAATAGGTGTATGATGAAATAAAAGTGAAATGATTTGAACTGATTGAAATGAAATGAAAATGAGTGTATCATGGTAAATGAAATAGGTGTATGATACACCTATTTAAGTGTTGACGGTCTTGATCCAAATTGTAATAATACGTGAATATCATGCAGAACGTATTTTCTTAATTTGAATACGAAATCGAACACTGAAACTTGAGTGTTATAGTGAAGAAAATAAGTCGACAAAAGTTCAAAATGAAAACTATACTTTTAACGATCTAATACAGTTGCGAGCACTGAGGAAGAAAGTAATTTACCGTTTACAAGTAACTACCGAAATTATTGAGGTAATCGAAATTACAGGTATGAGGTAACTTGACAACTATGTTTTGATATCATATGTTAGATACATGTCTTTGTTCTGTAACCTAAGTAATTCCAACTGTGTAATAAAAGGTTAATCCTCCATCGTATGTATTTTAATTAATTTCTTATTTATGAAAAACTCATTAGGTTATGGGCCCAGATAAATGAAAAAAAATGCCCAGAAATTTGGCATCGAAACCCCTCTACACTTAAATAAAATACGCACAATAAATTCTAATGCAGAAAGAAATAAAAACTCAAACATAACTGTAATAAGTTGGCTGAGTTCATTACTTTATCAGGTGTTTTTGACTTGTGTGTTCTCCTTACTTTTTAGTCTTCGGTCCTGATTTTTCTGTTACAACACAACTATGATCATTTCGGGCCTTTCCGGTCCATCTTCAGGTCGAACATGTAGCAATCGCGATCACGCGAACTTGTCGAGAAAAATAAAATGAAAATAAAAACGTTACTGCGCGCGCTGATAGCGTAGTAACGTATTCATTTTTATTTTATTTTATATTTTTCTCAACAAGTTCGCGTGATCGCGATTGCTACATGTTCGGAAGATTTAATTTTAATGATGTCCCTTTACAATCTGCTGGTTGAGTAAAAATCGTAAAATTACTTCTATGAGGCTTCAAATGTGCCTCTCAGCGTAATTTCATGGTGCCAGAGGGCCACATTTGAAACCCCACCCCACGGCCGTATGGAATCAAATTTGTCTGTCAAAGTAAAACATGGCATACATATGTCTATACTCAAGGATAATGCACGAAGAGATTGTTAAATAACGGACTAAACACTTTTGCA